ATAAGCCTGCATCCTCTACATTATTTATACCCAAGGTTGTTTGAGAGAGGTAGGTTGCAATAACTTCTATGACGTCATCTGGGGTGCCTCAACATAATGCAATTCTCTATAAGGCACTAGGCACTTCAGATGACGTCATCAAGTTACTCATTACCAGGCAACCCCTTAACTTTATAAACCTTGATTTATACCTTCATTATTGGTAAACAGACATTTATTTTGTTTTCAAAAAAGCTGGATCATCCACAATTATTTTACATTCACTGAATTGAATTAATTACTATTGGATGCAGTTTCTTTATTGATGTCTATACTATTTTCCTCTGTAATACAGAGACAATTTTCGCTCCATACTGGTATTCATCAATTTCTTAACAAACAAAGAAAAAACCAGAATATCGAGTTTTGCGACCTGTCAACCGGTCAAAAATTGACATTTCTTGTCAATCGCAGAAAAACGATATTTCTCAAATGAACCTGTTAGGTACCTATTGAGACAAGTAGGACACAGTGACGTTTTTTGTCTCCCTATCGAGAGTGAGGTTATGTGTGTGACGTCAGCTAGTGCCTAATTAGCCTAACTGAAACACGTTACTTTTACAAGCAAAATATGGCCGGCAGGAGGAACTACTATCTACATACACTATTTCTAACATCAATAAAAACAGCAGTTTTTTCATAAGTATAACTACGCAACGCACTATTTGAAACTCATAACATTATTTGATAACACATAAACAGAGGGTTTGTGTGCCTCTTGGCGGCCATTTCAATTTTAGTTTGACAGCATCTTGGTTAGTGTAATACAAACAGGCGCTAGTTATGACGTACAAAATCACATAACGTCACTTTCGATATAGGGGGACAAACGGCAAGGATGATACACACCTACAGTATTGCTTATCGGCTTCGTTTTTGGTAATCGCCGCCATATTGGTGTGTCACCGTTTCCGACGTCATAACTAAGTCGTCAGCTGATAAAACAGCCTACGTCAAGGAGAGAAGTAACATGCTGCCTACGTCACAACTGGTATTTTGGCGTAGGGAAAGGAGGAGATTTGTTCCACACAGGCCTTATTAGGATAGGCTATCTTGTAGTAGTAGTGTCGGGAAAAACATGCCATCGAAACAAACCTACCTCAATGGGACAAACAAACGATATTTTTGAAATGAATCTGTTACCAGTTCAGAGAAGTGGGACACAGCGACGTTTTTTGTCCCCCCATCGAGAGTGAGGTAATTCGAATCCAAGGATAATAAACACTACTACTACAGGATAGCTTATCCTCATAAGGTCTGTGTAGATCAAATCTCAAGGCCTCCACCACGCCAAAGAACCAGTGATGACGTAACAACGTATCGTTTCTTGCTTTGAGTGTTTGCACCACAGCGCGGGATTTTGCTTTATTCATACTTGGTTTTACTGCATTAATTAACATTTCAAAACAACTGTTTTTTTGAAGTCGTTTGCATCTTTCTCTTTGCCTATTATCTTAATTAGAATTAAATAATATTTTTCATCATGAATATATATTCTATACTACGACCGCTGGCGCAAGAAGCTGACGACTTAGTTGATGATGTCGTCGATGGTGCTACACAATAAGGCCCGATAAACAATCCTGTGTAGTAGTGTGTATTATCCTTGATTCGAATCAGCTGATAATTCAAGATGGCGACGTGGGCACAACAAAGTTGACGACTGTGATGGTTGAAAGTTGATATTTTTTATAGGTTTTTTATGTTATATTTAGGATGACGTCATTGGACAAGACCAGACAATGTTGTCAATGCCTATTTTTTTTCTTATAATTTATAATTTACCAGAATGTCGTGTGTAAGGCGGCGTTCCGTATCTTAACCAGAGTTACCGAATGGTTACCGATCGATAAGAAGCGGTTCGTCTATGGTAACAGTCTGGTGCCTGAAAATGCGGTTTATGCGTGGAACGCTTCGGTTCAGCTTTGGTTTGGCTTGGATGCTAGATGACCTAACCTAACAAACAAATGTCAGAAATTGAAAACAAACCGAAAAAACCAAGCTTTTTGATCGGTAGATTAGGTTGACAGTTGTGACCGAATTTTTCAGGAACCGCGTTTCATAACCTAACCCTAAGACCTAACCAGATTTCAGGAGTGGTTAGGTTACAGAACGGGAACCGGAAAAACCTAGAATCTTGGTTAACTTACGGAACGTCGCCTTAATAATTAGGGAATCCAAACCACGTGACTTTTGCCAACCAGCCGGCATTTTGAAATTTTTATGAGGTTAGAATACGGATTGTTACATGTCAATGATGTCAGAAAAGTGTCAGATTTGAGTACTCGCTCCGTGTATTGATTAAGCCTAGTACTCATAACCGCGAAATTGGCTCGTTTTTGACATTGCTTCAACAATTTGATGTTTGATTCACGCATGAAACGTCAAATTGTCTAAGAAATGTTAAAAAAAGAGCAAATTTCGCTGTTATGAGTACTAGGCTTAATGCTGCCAAAAAAAACATATGTTCTTTGTTTATTGTTTGCCAACCAGACGCCATTTGGACAGGTCGTTGGATTGCCTAATTGTCACGACAGCTACAAAAACATCTGAAATTCCCCTACTTTAAGTGCGTTAATGCGTTCAAGTTTACCTACTAGGACAAATATGTTTGTTTGTGTCAAATTAAACGAAATGACAAATTGATGACGTTTCTATTAGGTCGCTGTTTTTGTTTGTTGTTATTTTAGTTTAACAAAGATAGAATGGATATAATAGACCTATCTATTTTTACCTGTATGCGCGCGCAACACCAGGCAATGCATTTTTATTGGCTAACTAGTACAGGTGTGAAGTAATCCTTTTGCACGCTGGGCATCTCCTTATCCTTTTTCATTGCCCGTGGTCTGACAAGGATAAAATTATGCTCGATATTCAACTTGACGTAGCTTGACAAGTGATCGATTTTCAATAATTGTTTGTGGTTTTGATTGACAAATACGTTATATGTCACGCGGTTTTCCTCTTTCCTTTTTTATCCCGTGCTAATAATAAGAACGGATTGCTATACGTAAGTCTAACATAATTTGGTACGTTTTGTCTCGTCTTGCGCAATAAGCGTTCTGCGTTTTTTTCTATCTAATAAAGTTTTCGTATTATTACCTCTTTGTCTGGTAAAATAGATAGGTCTATTATTCATTCCAAATAGTTAGTCAATTCAAATCACGTGACATTCAAGATGGCGTGGCGGCCACACATGGACCAAAAAACACACAAAAATATCTAGTTTCTGCTCGACTTAATAGTTTACGTACCTAGTAAACAGATATTTTATTGAATAATCAGAATCAAAGCTGCAAGCAAAACTCGAAGCAAAATAATTAAAATATGCATGAAAACACATATTCAAAACAAACTTGCTGGTCGCCACGCCATATTGAATTTCTCGTTTTGACAGATGGATTGAATTGCCTAATATTGGAATGACGTATAAAAATCATCCAGTTGGCTTTGGAAAGATAAGTTTTGAGCCATTAGTTCTTTTCACGTGGCTCCGGTTTAACTAACCGGGTTACAAAACGGTTACAGAAATGACATACCGTTTTCTAACCCGGTTACAAAGTGACGTGATGGATACCTACCACTCGAATTTGAGCGGTATGTTGCGGTTTGTTAAACCGGAGCCACGTGAAAAGGGTTAATGGGTGTAAAACATTTGTTTATTTTAAATTGTTTAAACATTCTAAAATCTATTTTTTTTTTTTTAAATAAAAGTCAGAATGACATTATGTTGGCAATACAATGTAAAATTGTCAAAGCTTTCAAATTTTTTATGTAGAAAAGGCTTGTGTTGCCAACATAGTTACTAAATTTTTGACTTGGGGAATTATATTTTTTAAAAAAAAAACAGACTTTACTTGAAAATTCTCAAATTTCGATTTTCAAAAGTCTAAAATTACAGTTTTACACCTGCTATACCACATAACCTCACTTTTTATTATTTTAAGATTTCAAAAATCCCAAAGTCTTAACCTCATCATTTGCGGCGCCGTGGGTAAGTCTGTCTATTATTTCAACTGATCATTACCTTTTTTCACCTATGGAGCGTGCGGCAAAATATGCTTTGTGTTAACTTTGTTCCAACCCAGCAGGAAACTGTAATATTACCGTCAGGATTCTGCGCAAAACCTAAAATTTTTGCGTAGAAACCAAAATTTATATACAGAGTGGTTACGAAACCGTTCTGGGATGGTTTTTTGACGGGCTGGGTGTATGATTTCAATGTAGTTATATGCTCTGTGGGTATAAATACAACATGTTCCCTTCTTTTAAAAATTGAATTCTAATTTGCTGAATTATTTTTGAAAAAATAGGTCAATTTGTATTAAAATAATATTGAACTTACCTTTCCCAAGCCCGGAAGGATCCTCACTTGTCGGGAAGGCTCGAACTGCACGTTGGGAAACACCATAGGAAACAAAAAGAAAGGACAGTTAGTGATGACGATTTATACAAAAATATAATTAAAAAAAAAAAATTGTGTTTGTACATTATAAACAAGAAGAAAAAAGAAATTAGATATTAAAAAAAAAAACAAACAAACACACATTTTGTTAGTAAGAAAGGACTCGTATGGGGGGGGGTGCAAGGAAAAAGACGCGTACCTATATAAACTGACAAATAAAACTCAATTTTCCTTATTTTAAATTTCTATTAATCGGACAACAGAAAAATATAGGTATAAGTAAGTAAGAACAAAATCATAAAAGCTAAAATACAAAAATAAATTGTTTTTCTATATTGAACAAATGTTATTTTTCTACACAAAAATTGTTAGGTATAGTATTTTGAAGCCTCAATACTTTTGTATATATAAGTATATTTCAGTTTTAGGCCAAGCAAAGGAAATCTTTGCGACGTTATTGCAATGTAACATTTAACGTCAAAGACAACATTGATGTTGTGACAAAATAACGTAACACAAAGATGTAATTTTGCTTTATAGCTCAAAAATAAAATTTTTAAACACGGTAAGACCAGTGACGATACGAAGTGCCTCCGGGCAAGTTACCAGCCGAAGTCGAGCTGTAGCTGGAATGATAACCTCCAGGACCGTCGCCGCGGCTACGCGAAGAACTTTCCGAGGTGTAACTGTAACCTCCAGGTCCTCCGGTAGAGCGACGAGTTACCGATTCGGAAGTGGTCGAAGAGCGTACTTGGGGACGCGAATAGAGATCGCCGGTACGACTTGAGGAGTCGTTGTTCGAGTTGTAAGAGTACGAGTAGACCTCTTCGGCTGAGCGTGAGCTAGTAGGATAGGACCTGTCGGTGACCACGTAATGGCGAGGACTCTGGGGAAGAGAAAGAGATGATGATCTTGTTGTTGAGCGGTGATTGTGTGTAATAGGATTTGTGTTTTTTTTTTTTTGGGGGAGTATTAATTTGGGTTTAGTTTAAAAGCACACACACACACATACATAATGTCAACCTAATTTGTAGTTAACCCCAAAGGAATTTATTCAATGGCTTCATATCTGGAGATTTTGCTGGCCATTCAATTCCAAGTTCGCTGTATATATCATACAATATTAAAAAAAAAAAAAAATCAAGAATCAAGTGCGTTCAGTAATCTAAATTAATTGAATTTCGAATACAGAAGATTTTTTGTTTAAAATGTATCTGCTTACTCAATCTTTACTTAGAATCAATCAGCAATAATCTATCTGAAAAAAATGTTCTGATTCAAAATACCTTTCTCAGTCAGTGTATTCAGTTTCAGGAAACTTTCCCCAAATAAAATTTGCTTCAAGTATTATATCAGTGTTTTGGGAAAAGAGCATGAAAGTATCTGATAATAAATCCAAAAAGTATGAAATCGTTGTGTCATTTTACCAGAACTAATTATTATCTAAATTTTCATTTATGTTTTTATGTCTGAGCATCAGAATTTTTGACGCTTGAACTATTTTTTAGAAGGTTTGAAGTTGTAAGAACTCTAAGATCCAGATAAGAACTTGGACAGTCTGGCAATTTTGTCCAAAGGTCAGTGGCGCCCAAAAATAACCCATCCCTCTCTAAGAATTGAACTGGGGCTTATTAGCAACGCAGTTTGACCCCTAGACTCAAAATCTTAATTTTCTGAAATATTTGTATTCATGTCAAAGTGTGGCGAATGCCATTCGGAAAAAAAAATGCACCTTTCACATTTCAGAGAGTTATGGACGAAGCCTCAAAACAAAAATCTGTATTTTGTAGGAATTTCTGGTACAGACTTTATGGACAAAAAATTAAATTCCCCATTTCTGATTAATACCAATTTGTTCTAGTTTTGATAAAAAGACTGCAAATAATAAATTCCGAAGCTTTCAAAGGGAAGAATTTTGGTATTGCCTTATAATAACTTTCAAATTATTTTATTCAATAAAAAGACCCTTATTAATAAATCCTGGTTTTGCCTTTAATTGAATAAAATTTTTGTTTTACGCGGGTAATTTAGTTTATCTATACAAGCGTTTGGTTATGATGTTTTTACATAATCATATTTCCAGTATTTGAGTCATGTCATGAGACTCATAACACAACTAAAGTTCGTTTCACCAGGGCTCATACTTGACCTTGAAAATTGAAAAAAAAGGGTTGTCGTAAATTAATGCATATGACACATTCAATTTTTTTGACAAATTAAAATGAATGACGTCTAGTTTAAGAATTGACGAACGTTTTTGACGTCATTGATTTGTTTCAGTCAATTTTTATTTGTTAAACAAGGAAGACAAATGCTGGTGACAAGTACAAACCCTGGTCAAACAAACTTTAGTGGTGTTATGTGCCTCTTGGCGGACATTTTTATTTAAGTTTGACAGCACTTTGAATAGTCAGTCTTTTCAAAACACGTCACTTTGACAAGCAAACAAAAGGTTTGTGTGCCTCTTGGCGGACATTTTATTTCAAGTTTGACAGCATCTTGGATAGTCTAAAATTATGGTGACGTTCATAAAAAAAATCATGTTTGGCATTGAGGTAGTTTTTTGGTTAGGGCCCTTATTGTTGTAGATGCCAAACATAACAATATGACGTGAATATGACAATGCCAAGGTCAAACCTAAATGTCCAGAATGTAATAAAATAAGTAATTTTTCATTGGTTTCTATCAGTAACCTAAATGTAAACAACACGATGTCTGACCTGAACTTTCAAATTGAATTTCGTTTGACAGGTCAGTAGATTGCCTAATTTTTGGTGATTTGACAAATGTCAAAGTTAAACCTGTAAAGGTAAAATGAAGGTAGAAAACTACTAATAAACGAAAATAATTAAAAAAAAAAAACATTCTTATTTGTCGCTATGTAAATAAAACGTTGTACATCACACGTGCGTTTAAACGTGACTTAAACTCGTGTGATTAGAACGACTCGGTCTACGACCTCGTCGTTCTAATCTTTCACATGAATACCTCTTGTTTAAAAATAGATTTCGAGAAGTTATGAATATCCTAAAACACTCTTGGCCACTCAACAAGCGCCGGGAATAATCAAAGTTTGCCTCACAATCTAATATATCCTACTTTATCTTTGTCTTTTTCTTAACCGTTAAGTTTCTTATGTCGTTTTCTTTGTCCTACTTGCTTATTCTAAGTTTTTTATTGGCCAGATATAAAAATTACATGCATTATGCTCACTCAAGCACCGGTAATAATTAAAATTTGTGTTACTTTTTTTTCTTTTCCCACTTTGTTTCTGTTTCTTTCTTATTAATTGATTTTCTGATATTGCTATCTCTTTATTATTCCAAGCTATTGGCCATTCGAGCGCCGGCCGTCTCTGTTTTTTCTCAACCGTTGAGATTCTTATGTCGTTTTATTTGTCCTACTTGCTTATTCTAGGATTTTTATTAGCCAGTCACTAAAATTACATATAGTAGAACACAGAAATGCCCTTTTTTTATTTTTCTTATATCTATTGCCTCTGAGTTCTGACAGAGCTGTCACAAGTACATTGGAGTACAAGTACAAAGTACTTGGTAATTGAAATACGAAGTAGGTAATTTTTTTTCTCACATGTAGGTACTCGAACTACCAAGTACTTAATAAAAGTAATGGAATTTGCAAGAGTTCTTAACTTGAAGTACAATTGAATTGAAGTATTTCAAGTACTTGTACTTCAAATATTATTAAAATGGGTCTTTCTCATAAATATAAAACATGACAATTTTTTCATTTATTATTTTTCTTGGAACCTTTTGTCAAAAATTAACTAACAATACCCAACAAGCAACCTCTAATGTCTGTGTTACTTTAAATATTTGAAAATATAAAATACTTCAAGTATACTTGTAATACTTTCATTGTACTTGAAGTAATTTTATAATACTTGGAGTAGGTACGTCCAATATTCTGATAGTATTTTTAAAATTTTTAGAACCAAATATGTTAGAGACAGCTCAACCAAATATAGACAAACTATATAGTTTTGGAATTAGGAAACTGTGCTCTTCAAGAATATAGAACCAAATATAGCGCATCCCATTTGAAAAAAGCTGGAAGCATGCAAAATTTCACATTTCGTTTTTGACCATGGTTTTTAAAAATTCAGTTGAAACTGTACAACTTTTGTATTTACACCTTTCTTCTACCTATAAAGGTAGAAGCTGTAGGTAGAGTGTCAATATATGAAAAACACCCTGTACAAATAAGTGGATTATTGCGGAACTTATGGGTGTACCTCTGCGGGACGAGCGCAGCGAGTTCCGCAGCAATCTACTCACCAATATACTTTTGAATTGTTCAAGTAAGGCATTTACCTGAAACGTGTAGTTTTTAAACTAATGAGAATAACTCACATTTGAGTGTCAGGTTAGTATCATACTTGAACAACATATTGGTGAATAGATGACTGGGTGCACCCATAAGTTCCGCAACAATTCACTCGTTTGTACTTGAATAACTTGTCACAATATTACTAATTTGGTAAAGTAATATTACTAACTCCTGTTGAAAGGCAAATTGACAAAAAGTGGATAATCTTATAAATTTTGACTTTACATAATAAGTTATGGCTCAAGTACAAATAATTGGATTATTGCAGAACTTATGGGTGGACCTCTCTACCAACTACTCACCAATATACTGTTGAACTGTTCAAGTAAGGCAACTCACATTTGAGTGAGTCAGGTTAGTATCGTAATTAAACAACATATTGATGAATAGATGGCTGCGGAACTCGCTGCGCTCGTCCCGCAGAGGTCCACCCATAAGTTCCGCAACAATCCACTCGTTTGTACTTGAATAACTTGTCACATTATGTTACTAGTTTAGTAAAGTAACATTACTAATTCCTGTTAAAAGGCAAATTGACAAAAAGTGGATAATCTTACAAATTCTGACTTTATATAATAAATTATTGTTCAAGTACAGGGTGTTTTTTTATATATTAATACCCCATCTACAGTCTTCACCTTTACAAGTAAATGAAAGCTGTAAATACAAAAGTTGTACAGTATTAGCTAAATTTTTAGAATCCATGATCAGAAACAAAAACTGAATGTCAGAAATGTGAAATGTTGCATGCTTTCAGCTTTTTTCAAATGGGATGCGCTATAATTGGTTCTATATTCTTGAATAGCACATTTCTCGATTCTAAAATAATATAGTATACATATAGTTTACAGTTTACACCTATACAGGTAGAATGGTTCACAAAATCGGTAGTAGGATAGTATTTTTACAATTTTTGGAGCCGAATATATGAGAGATTGTTCAATCAAATATAGACAAACTATATATTTTTATAGGATGAAATATAGGGCATCCCATTTAAAAAAGCTGGAAGCATGCAAAATTCCACACTTCTGACATTCAAATTTTGTTTCTGACCATGGTTTCTAAAAATTCAGTCAAAACTTGACAACTTTTGTGTTTGCACCTTTCTTCTACCTGTAAAGGTGAAGGCTGAAGGTGGGTTGTCAATATACAGTGACCGCCAAAAAGTTTGCAACAAATGGGAAAATATTTTATTATTAAAATATCAAAAAGAATGTTACGTGGGATCAATTCAGCATACCTATCAACAAAAAAAAAGCACTGTGACAGATGTCATGTGACCACAGTTATGGCGGGAAATTTAAAAAGTTCGCCTCAAATATGTAAAAAGTGGGGTTAGATGACCAGAAATCGAAAAATTGTAGAGAGAAAAGTGGTTCAGAATTGGATTTTACGTCTATGTGGAAAAGGTACAAGGATTTTTAATAAATATCAATTTTTTGGTCTGTTTTCTGGTAATTTGGAGAATATTAAAAACTTTTCGGAAAAATATTGGTTGAATTGAATTTAGAAAAGAGGTATTGGATCATTTAG